GAAATCCTGGGACAAAGACGAATTGTCTGGATGCAAATGGACGTTATTTTGTAAATCTGTAAATTATTAATACACAATTAGATTTTACATTACATTACAATTCTGCAAAATGTTTGTTTGTTCAAGTGTGAAATAAATTTACGACGATTTTTATAGTTGGGAATTTGTCCCAAAACATTTGACTTGTTGAAAAGTCGATATTAACGTTAATATTGTTTTGAACATTCAAGGCGTTTATGTGTTTTTCATGCCTTATTAATATTATTTTCTCGCAAATAAATCATGACCTCCTTAGAATTCATAATACTACGCGAGATGATATTTCGGTGAAACTCCAATCACTTATGCACTTGTGATCACTAGACTGCAAATTTTACACTCCTTTTAAAAATCAAAATATCCAACATGGCGGCCATAAGAAAAATGAAAGTTGCTTGGAAAACAAAAGATGATTGAGACATGTCATACATGCAATCTTATTTTTCTCAAAAAAATGTCCGAATAATGTTACATTTTGACAGCTGTAACAAATTATCTGTTTTGGATTTACTGGCAAAAAGCAAATTTCCCCGTTTTTGGTTTTTCACTGATACATCCAAAGACAATTGGCCGATCGAAAATGTGAAGCCGGCTATCGATAGCACTAAGTTTCCTCTAAAACGTTCGCCATTTAACTTTTGCTGTAGGTATAACAGGAGCCCAGATCCCTGTAGAGAGAAGCGAATCTGGGACACATTGTAGAGTGAGAAGGTCATGTGGAGAACAGTACTTCTTAGCCATATACAAATAGCCTAGCTTTTTCCCAATAGCTGCTGCTATTGACGAGACGTGTTCGTGCCGGATCAAGTCCTCGGTGACATGGACTCCCATCAGCCGAAATGAACGACTCTGTGGTAGAACTCGACCATCCAGCGAAACCGGATGCATTAAGGATCCCCCAAACCATCGCGATTAATCCGCTGCGATATAATTCTCGCGAAATTCGCTGCGAACATCTGAGGGACTTTCATATCGAAGCGAAAAGATCGCAGTGGATTGGCAGTAAACGGTGTGCCCTCATGTTTTGATTGGAGATGAAGGATTTGCCCTTAAATCCTACCTAATGAGACAGTTACCATATAGACAGTCGAAAGCAGACGCTAGAAAAGAAAAATACAATACTGGGCGCGGAGAGTAGCGTAATATGCTTTTGGGATTCAAATGTGGAGAATTTTTTATAGGCCTATGGAAACGAAAACAGATACTACAATTTTAATAGTAAAAACTACATGCGTTCTGCATAATTTCTTACGCAGTAAGCAATGTGACGAACAGTATATACACCTTCTAGATGAAGATCCAGATCCATCACAAGCCTTTACCAACATCGAAAATGATCCAAGACGTGCAACGAATCTGGCATTTTCTACACGAGAAAAATTTGTTGACTATTTCAACTCCTAATATTGTTGGTCAAGATCAGCTTAGCTAAGCCATTCATAAATAATAAACGTATTATAATAATTTCTCAGTAAATAGTAACTTACCGGTGTCATTCAATTCCACTCCTATCTCATCCCAGATTTTGTCTTTTTTTCGAACATTTTTGTAGTCCTCGTTGTTCAAGTCATAGAGAATTGGAAATTGTTCAATTATTTCCAGTGTTTGCCATTGCGACAGCGATAAAAATCGTGCAAGCAGCGAATTAAAATTTAGTCGCTGCACTGTCGCACCGCTGTGAGCGAAATTGACGCACAGGTCTGTTCTTGTTCATTTGCTTCTACGAGAAGAGTCCCTGGGCGACAATGTCGTCGCGAATTAACCGCAGTCACTGCGAAATATTCGCGTCGGTTTGGGGGATCCTTTAAACTGTACAAGATTGTTGCGTCTCAAAGCAGAGATAACCTCCAGGTCTCTCGTCAGAGAGGAAGTCACTGCTAGTCTTCTTTTATCCAGCTCACTGGCACAGATCGGCTTGTCGCTCTGAATTCCTGTATGTAGAGTGTTGTCATCAGCAAAGCTGTTGATTGAATTGATTGTGCAGGAAAGGGCGCCGTTTAACAGTTTCGGTGCCAAGACCGATCCCTGTGGAACATCCGCGTTGACGTTGTGGGATGAAGAGGAGAACCCGTCAATTACGACGGATATTCTGCGGCCAGGAAGAAAGTCAGCCTCCCATCTGCAAAGCTTCTCTGGGACGTCATAGGATGGAAGTTTGCATAATATCAAGAGTAATGACATGGGCCCCTTCATCAAACGGGATAAGTTTACTCCACAATTGCGCGACGTAAGCTAGGATGTCGCCTGTGGATTGCTGGTGCCAGAAATCATACTGCCTACCGCTAATCAAGTCGTGACGCTCGAGGTGGTCCAGAAGCTCGCGCTTTATGCACCTCTTAGTCCAAAATTGGCGATCTTTTGGTTTTCGCAGGCTGTACAATACTTGAACCAAGAGCAAAAGTGCTACAAATCGCTCTAGGAAACAATGATGAAGAAGGAAGTGCTTTTATTTGAAATCTCTCCGAAAAAGTGACCAATACACGTTTAGTAAGTGGCAACTGCATGGAAGTAAAAATTTAATAAATGAGCAAAGAAATATTAAAATTAATATTTTATATCCAATTAGATATGTAACATACAATGTGTATTCAGAGCTATGCTCTCACGGCGAAAGAAAAAAGTGTTGCTTCCGATATAACACGAAACAATGACAATAGTGCGTTTGTTCTAGCGACTACAGAATCCAGCACAAAGTGGTTTACTGCACGAATGCACTCATTGTTACGTTTACATTATTGTAGGTAGACAATGCACATTTTTCAACACAACCCGAGATGTAACTGTGAATAGACGCAAACAAACACAGAAGACTTTGCCTCTCTCACATCCAGCTGTAACCTCTATACTCTTATTAAGCCGCCGTGCCTCGTTTTAGTATTCTACAATCACTGAGAGTGGCAAGATATTCATTGAAAGTCGGTCAGTAGTATACCCACCGGCGGCGACCGCAGCGTTAGCGTTGACCGCAACTGCAATTTTTTTTTAGTGTCAGCCGAGTTCTTTGGTAGTAAGTACCATCTTCTCTTAATAATACGCGGTCCTTCAAATTCTATAGATACGTTAATTTATAAGACTGGTTGCAACCATATTGGAACTAGGGTTCATAGTCACTTACGGAAGCAAATGAGTCAGTAGCACCATACATCCGCAACCACTCGATAATAGCCAGTCTTAGCCGGCCTTGTGTTTTACTCCTGCTGGAAACTGTTCTTTGGCCCAGAATAGTCAAATTTATATAGGATTCTTGAAGTTAAGTAAAGCTTGTTATTTATTTATTGTTTAAATCGTTTGTAATGTTTTTATCCCGAAATCATTTCGATCATTTCTAGTCTATTTATACAGGGTCATTTAAAAAAACAGTGGCACATTTCCTAAGCAACAAATACATCCAAAAATAATGCAGTAATGTAGTTCTAGAACCGATTTTGATACATTCCTTGAAAGTCTGTCAGTAATACCACCCGACATGGTGATGACGATAGTGCATTGACGCCAACTGCAGAACTTTTTTACTGTTTGTTTGGTCAACTGAGTACGTATTATATCAATGCGCGTTTAATCAAATTCTGCGTATATTACTATCAACATTCTTCGTATGCTTGGTTGCAACTACCTCCTAAGTTACTTCCGGTAATAACAAATACTTGACTCAATATTGTACCACAATCAGTAACGACCATTGGTTTTATACTTTGGCTAATAAAGACTCACAAAGTTGTATGCTTTTTCATTCAATGCATGAAAGATTTTAGACTTTTCTCTCCTATGCTTTTGTCACCGAGGAATCCCAGTTGGAGTGATCTATTAAGTGTTAACGGTCGCAGCAGCGCAATAGCAATAGCGGTGGTAGTAACAGGGTTAATCCCAGTTACAAAAATTGTATGAAGTCCCTTTTGTGTTAAGTACCGCGCTTCTTGAGCTTCTGCACGTCGTCATACGTCTTCATACGTCTTGCATCTAATTACTTCTGTTTACTTTAGTTCCTATACTTGAATTATTTGCAGTTAAAACGAATCGGAATAATTCTACATCTCCAACTGTTCATTAGTAGCCAGTCAGTCAGTATTTTCATGCTCACTCCAATGAGAAAAAATCTGACGCTATACTAAATTTATTCCTATATGGCATATTTAGGTTCATTATATAGGGTGTCCCAACAAAAATGGAAAGTAGTTTTATGAGTAAACTGAAAAAGATATCAAGAATTTGGTTTCGTGGTAACCTTGATATGTTACTAGTGCATATTTTAAATTTATTTTAATATATACAGGGTGTGCCATAGCAAACCCGTTTTTTAAAATAGAATAACCTAAATTTCATTACAAATTTGGATAGAGTTTCTAAAAACAAGAAGTTTGATATATAACATAGTGTCTCGACTGTCGCAATTGTTAAGATATATAGTGAAATGCCTGAAAGAAGTCCCAACTTTGACTGCTCGCACGTCTTTTTTGAAGATATTCAGATAAGTTTTATTATTGATTATATGCTGCTGTGAGATAAATGTTAAAACATTTTTCTATTTGTACAGGTTATCTCAAAACGCAAAATGTACCTTTTCTCATAAATTTAGAATGCTACACCCCCTATATTTCCACATCATTAAGTAGGTTTTTCTGGGAATCTTTTTTATGTAAGGTTAATATTATAACACTTTTTTCGAACAGTTTTCGAGTTATTGCTATTAATTCCGGAAAAAATCCACTTTTACACAAAATAAAGTCTTCCACAGAAACAATGATTTTTTTTCGCACAACAAGACTCATCTTAACCCAAGATCGTAATTCATTATGAAATTGTTAGCTGGCGCCCTAAGAGTTGGATAGGGGATGCGGATCGATCAATTGGAGAGCGAGATCTCCCGATCTGTGCCTCCCGACTTCTTTCTCTGAGGCCATGTAAAAGGGGAGGTTTTTCCCTAGGATATAAAACATCGCATAAGCAAGTAGTTTAAGCGGATAGTCAGACAAACCCTATTAGACGTGGTGCAAGATAATTTCATCTAGCCCTGTGTGCTTTTCACCAAGGTAATTATATTCGAACAATTTATTAACGATTGGTTGCCTTAGGCTGAATTTATTTCTGTTGTGTTAATAAAAGCTTTTGTTTTCATAGAAGATTTGATTTCATGTTTAGATAAAAGATGTATTGGGCTTATCTTGAAATTAATAGCAATAACTAAAAAACATTTGGAAAATAGTTGTATAATATATACAGGGTGTTTCAGTTTATTGTTGCATAACTTTAAGATTCGATAGAACTTTTAAAATTAATGCATAAAGTCTATATAAACATGGGTCGAATAATGCGTGGCTTCCGAAATACAGGGTGTTTAAATTTACTTTCTAAAATAGTTTTTTTTAAATATTCCGAACAATATTTGATGTATAACAGTGAAAATTGGTATACAAGGGTTTTTTGGTACGACAAAACGAACCATGGGCATAGTTCTACTGTAGCGTCTAGAGGGCGCTCTCTAATGTACCTGTAGTGTATTAAAATGACCGAAAAAATTTTCTTAGTGCTATTTTTTGCTTTTTGAATGAAAAAAATGATTCTTCGCACTTTTCAACATAAAAAAGTTATCTTGTGAATTTTCGTTATAGTTAGCCGTTTTTGAGATATTTCGATTTTTAGGGTTCGATGCACTTGTAATTATTCATGATAAAATAACGGTAAAAAGCCAGTATCTCGATAATTTTTTGAAGTAGGCCGTGCCTGCAAATATTTTTGAAATTGAAAGCAGAATAAGGTTAAACGTCAATTTTTTGACAGTTAGTTTTGTTGTCTGTTGAAACCTGAAACGTTTTTTTTTGCAATTGTGAATGCACGCAATTTAGTTTCTTTTACCTGTTTTTTTTTGTAAGTTTTAAAAAAGGCCATTTTTATTCTCCAATCAAGAGTTAGCGGATATTCATTTTGTGTATGGCTTTGTAAATGGAAACGCAGCAGAAGCAGCCAGAGAATACGCACGAAGATTTCCAAACAGACGACATCCAACTCGCTCAGTATTTGTAAGAGTGCATCGCCAAATAATTGAAAATGGTTTTGGAAATCTCCAAAGGGATCAAAACATAAATGTTCGTCAGCGCAGATTTACCCGTAAGATACTGCGTGAGTTTGATAGAGATCCGACCACAAGTGTTAGGAGAGTTTCTGGTGCCTTGGGAATTTCAGCAAGCCATGTTCACCGTGTTCATAGAAATGACCATAGACGTCCTTACCATTTGCAACCTGTGCAAGGACTACAGCTAGGGGACGGAGAACGAAGAATCACATTTTGTCAGTGGATTCTTGATAGAACTGATAATAATAGGGAGTTTTTAAGTAACGTTTTATGGACCGATAAGTCATGCTTCACTAGACGTGGAGTGGTAAATTTTCATAATCAACATATCTGGTCGCATGAAAATCCGCATGCAGTTCGGGAAAGAAATTTTCAGCATAAATTTACTGTGAACATGTGGATAGGTATCTACCGTAATCGACTATTTGGACCCTACCTTTTGCCTGCAAGGTTAAATGCTGCACCTTCTTGGAATTTTTAAAGGCTGAACATGCAAATATGTGGGATGATGTTATGTTAGATTTAAGAAGATTGGCCTGGTTCCAGCTTGATGGTTGTCCAGCTCATTATTCGAGAATAGTTAGAAACTGGCTGGACGAAAATTATCAAGAAAGATGGATCGGCCGTGGAGGACCAGTCGCCTGGCCTCCACGATCCCCTGACCTAAATTCATTAGATTTCTTTGTGTGGGGATTTCTAAAAGAAAAAGTGTACCAGACTCCCGTAACCACAAAAGATATGCTAATAGACAGAATCAGGAATGCATGTGATGAAATAAGGCCTTATTTGAATAATGCTATACCACGTTCGATCATTCGTAGATGCGAATTGTGTATTGAACAATTGGGTTTACATTTCGAGCAACTACTTTAGATTTTGTATGTTTGTCCTAACAATCCAATAGCATATTAGTTGTAAATAAATAATTTCATTTCTTAAAAATAATATTGAAAAATTAAACAAATTAATATTGTTTTTTGTGTTTTTTTGGAGTTAGGAATTATTGCTGTGTTTAAAAACACAATCTAAACGATCATCTTAATTACTTGTAATGCCAAATCGAAAATGTAAATAAAAAATATTATTTTCCCATAAATAATTAAAAATGCATCGAACCTTAAAAATCGAAATACCTCAAAAACGGCTAACTATAACGAAAACTCACAGGAGAGCTTTTTATGTTGAAAAGTGCGAAGAATCAGTTTTTTTTATTCAAAAAGCACAAAATTGCACTAAGAAATTTTTTTCGGTCATTTTAATACATTACAGGTACAGTAGAGAGTGCCCTCTAGATGCTACAGTAAAACTATGGTTCGTTTTGTCGTACCAAAAAACCCTTGTATACCAATTTTCACTACTATACATCAAATATTGTTCGAAATATTTAAAAAAAACTATTTTAGAAAGTAAATTTAAACACCCTGTATTTCGGAAGCCACGCATTTTTCGACCCATGTCTATATAGACTTTATACATTAATTTTAAAAGTTTTATCGAATCTTAAAGTTATGCAACAATAAACTGAACCACCCTCTAGAGAAAAGATCACAAAAAAAATTAACTACGAAATTTTTGTGAAAAGATACATTTTGCGTTTTGAGATACCCTGTATAAATGGAAAGAAATTTCAGCACTTTCTTCAGATTAGCTTGAAATCGAAGGTAATAAAATTCTTGTGAATTAAAATTTATCTAAATATCGCAAAAAATGGCTATTTAAAAAATATATGTTTGCCATGGCACGAAGTTATGGAACATCTTGTACATATTAAAACAATTTCGAAGTATGTATTAGTAGCATATAAAGGTTGCCACCAAAACATATTTTTTCCAGTTTACTCATAAAACTACTTTCTATTTTCGTTGGGACATCATGTATATACAGGTTGGGTAAATTGGACTGATCATAATGGGCAATGCAGAGAAAGATGTTCTTTCGATAAAAAACATTTTCACATTTATGACTGCAACGATCGTTGTATCTATTTTTTACGGAATCCTTTTCTAGTGAATGACATCTCATAATCACAATACATGATCCTTAAAGGTCTTCCTCTATAGCCTTTGCAACTACCCGCTTTCTTTCAAGGTGCCTACATAGTTAACTTCAATCATAACAGAAATACATGAACTAATAAAATACTTCCTCAACTGTTCAACAATAGCTAATATATTTAATTTTCAATAACTTTGTCTACGACCAGGCGGTGAATTACTCTTTATGTAAAGATTTTTCTAGGCCTTAGCCCACGGAGTTCCTTTTGCCCTAGGCGCTAACGCAGCCTTAGCTGAAGCACCGTGGGAGATAAACGCTTACTAAATGCCTTAGATTAATAGCTAACGACGATATGTTTGATCCCTTACACAGAAATACTGTGTGCAATTCAGGCATTAGATAGAAATGTTATTGTAAATTCAACAATATGTGATCTCAATTGGGTCATCGATGAGTAATTTGATATCAGAAAATTTTTCACTAAATTCCTATCATTTATGCACGCATGATCCCTTGTTTTAAGCATGACGTGAATAAGCACAATCGTCAAATCATTCTTACTTCCTATGCCAAAACTGCTACTCTGCTACGTGTGGGTTGAAAAAATATGAGGGAAACAGCCCTAAAGAGGTTTTGGTGTAATAATTACATGATAACATATTAGTGAAATTGTGCTATTTCGAATACTTTGTATGCGTTTTACATCTGAGATCATTGTCGACCCGTCAAAATGCAAATGAAAATGACTCCTAGATACTAAATATTTAAGAATCTAAATGTTTCATTCAAATCCATATTTGAGAAGGATTTAATATTCAAGATTCCGCTCTTGACTGGTTACATGTATTAAAAATTTTACTGAAGTCTACCGATAAACACTAAAGCTATTGGTTTTGGTGTAGGATATCGAAAAATTTTCCTGGTGGGTCAATTATCTTATTAGTATGATATAATAATTGTCTAATCGTAGGGGGTCTACGTCGATTAGTTGTTTTTTTTTCTCACGCGTAAACCGGGGAATTGCGGTATTAATTGCAAAATACCAGACTCGATAAATGTATGTTGTCTACATCGCGAAAATTCCGGAAATTTATTTTCGCCAGTCTGACCATCAATATGTCGATAAATTATTCAGATTATAGTACGCGTGGTACGAATTTGTACCTTATCCAATACGTATCTCAAGAACCATTGGTGCCGATGAATAGGTAAATACCATTACGCGTTCCTTTATATGCACATAAGGTTCATAATGTAAAATTCCGGGAGAAATAGATGACTTCGGCCTATCCCTAAATAGAGTTATGCTTGTTTATTATAGCTATCCTGGTGTTATGACACTATTAAGTTAACTATTACTTTTATAGCAATCTATAGCCTCTATTTAATAAATTAAGTTTGTGATTCTTACCCAGCTCAGGTTATGAGGCAGTCGTAACATAGATCAAGATCATATTACACGTGTGAAATCGGCATAAAAAAGTCACCACAACTATATAAAATATACAGGGTGTCTCGAAAGTTGGTACTTTTCAGAAACAACTGCGTACGGAATAACAAAGCTAATTTGCGGTAAAAAAGCACCGAAAACGGACAAAAGAAATTGAAAAAAATACACTCTCTATTCATCTGGTCACATGCTTTGTTTGTAAATAGTGCTTGAAGTTGTCATTTTTCGGTCTAAAAAATATAAGTTTATTTGATACCTCCTAAATTTGTAACATTTGGAGCTGTGTCCAACCAGATGGCTTGCTCGATATAAACAAACTTACGCAGCCCTGTTGGAAATATTGAGGACGATGTTGTGAATACATATTTCTGTCCTGTCAGGATTCAAATGATCTTAATGTTTCATTTTTAAATAATTTGATAAATCTTATTTACCAATATTTACTAAGAAAGGCTAAAATCACTCATACTAAAAACAAAAACAAGTCTTGGTTTAATCAGAAAGGCTACTACTAATTTTATTAACTATGAGTGCTATGCCAATCAATTTAACATCTATCTTCCTAATGTTGACTTAGAGTTGTCCAAGAAATTGCCAAAAAGTAGGAATAATTCACATGTCTGTGCCAAAAAAAGATAAATTGGAATAAATCCATGTTTCGGGCGCCTTACAAAGAATATGAAGCTTCCTGACAAATAACTAGCTTGGCAATGCAAAGGATATTTATGAACTTAGCAATAAGCTGGGATTATTACGCTCATGATTTTATTGATAAACAGTTGTTTGTATTCTCATATTGCTTTGAAACATCTAGGGTATGCCCTATATTTAAAAAGGGAGGAACTACAGATGATACAGACAGACCAGTCTCTGTAGTTCCTCTCCTGGTAAAGTGACGGAATTAGCATTTAGTTTAAGTTTCATTGAATTTTTTAGTAAGAATAACTTACTCAAGTTAGTTTGGATTTTGAGAAGGTATCTCCACAATCGATGCCATAATGAATCTGGCGACAAATGTGCTGGAGGCTTTTGAGAGGGGGGAAAGACAACAGCGGCATTCTGCGACCTCTCCAAGGCCTTCAACTGCGTCTGTCATTCGACTCTACTTAACAAGTATTGTGTGACCGATACTCGACTCAATTTATAGAATCTTATTTTCGAACAGACACCAACTTGTGGAATACAAAGGCAATAAGTCATCGAAAGCTACAGTGGGGATAGGAATTTCGCAGCGATCCATATTAGGCCCCTTCGTTTTTAGAATATATACCAACGATTACTCACTGAATATTGGGGATTCTATTGAAGCAATACATGCTGATGATACTGTATTCTATACCACGAACTATGAAGCAACAGTTGAAAATGAAATTAATAGAGGTAAACTATGCTTCAATAACTGTAACACTGAACACCCAAAAGTCGACTATTGTTAAATTTCCCTTGAAAAATGCTGAACCACGGGCAATCAGATTTTTAGGTGTTACAATCGACTCAAACTCAATGATTAAAAAAAAATATAAAGATCAAATTAAAGATTGCCAGTACATATCTCACAGAATACTTTTAGTAAAGATTAGGGCGAACAGCAAAATTATAAACATAATAGGGATATATGCACCAGAAGACTGCAAATCTGACAGCGATAAAGAAGAATTCTATGATGAGCTCCAAACATTAGTGGAAAAAGAAGTAAAGCAAAATGAATTACTTATATTATTGGGCGATTTCAATGCCAGAATAGGAGACGAAGTAATACCTGGAATAAAACAAAGTTTTAACGAAAGAGTCATAAATGAGAACGGAACACAAAATCACGTTTGAAAATCCAAGAGGACAGAGATCACCATAAACAGATAGCAGATGTGAGAGGTTTGACGTCACCCAACGTGGGAAGCGGTCATTATTTGGTACTTGGTAAAATTAGATTCAATGAAAGAAGGAAAGAGAAGATTAAACAAACGAATTCAGAGGAAATAATAAAAATAGAAAATTTAAGAGATGACCCCATAAAATCATTATATCAAAAAAGGCCTCGTAGAACAGAAGATAAAAATAGAAAATACCGAAAACGAAAGCAATGTAGAAACCAGCTGGAGAAAACTTGAGAAAAATATTCTAGACGCTGCCCGAGAAGCCCTTGGGACGAAAATAAGAAACAAAAACAAAAAGTGATCAACGAAAACACCATGGTTTACACTAGAGGTTAAACAAAAATGTCACCAAAGAAAGAAAGCTTTCTTAAAATATAAGTCAGATAAAACCAATGAATCATATGAAGAATATAAAAGAATAAAAACTGAAACTCATCAATTGGTAAGAAAAACAAAAACAGATTACTGGAAAAGATTCACCAAAGGACTAGAGATGGATTCCTAAGGACAACAGAAACAAGTATGGCGCTTCATAAGACAAGAAATAAGCGAAATGAAAGAACTAGTTGAAATAGAATACATAAAAGAGGATACATGGGTGGCCTTCCTGACAGAAATGTTTAAAAAGAAAACGAAGAATCTTTACCAGAAACGCCAAATATAATAACTGATGAAAAGACCGAAATCTCCCAAGAAGATGAGAAGCAAGGAATAAATAAACTAAAAAATAGAAAGGCGCCAGGAGAAGGTCAAATACCAAATTAACTCTTAAATATGGAGGTGATTACCTTGTACAACAACTGCAACTCCTTATTCAAAAAATAATCACCACGAACAGAATACCAGATGAAGGGAGGAGAGCGATCATGCTGATGTTCTTCAAGAAAGGAGATAAGAAAGACCCCAATAATTATCGCCCAATAAATCTGTCAAATACAACACTCAAATTGACAACAAGAATAATAGCGACAAAAATAAACGAACGAATAACTCTGCAAAAGGAACAGGATTCCGGACAGTAAGATCATGCTCGGATGCATTTTTTGTAATAAGACAAATAAAAGAAAAGTCGCTGGACTACAGCAAACCTGCATATTGTGTCTGATAGATTTGAAGAAAGCGTTTGATAGAGTGAGAATCCGGGACGCGATACATTTATTATATGACAGGGGGATTCCATTGGATTTAGTAAAAACTATTGAGAATATATATAAAGATAACATAGCTATGGTAAGAAGTCAAGGAAAACTCTCGCAACCTATCAAGTTCGAAACTGGCATTAGACAAGGAGATTCGCTGAACCCACTAATATGTAATCTGATAATGGATGAAATCATAAAGAAAGTTAAAAAAAGAAGAGGATATAGAATGGGAGAAAAGGAAATAATCGCTGAAAATAAAGATGACCTGCAAAAATTAATCAAAGAATTCGAAGATACGACGCTCATATACAACATGGTGATTTCAACAGAGAAAACTAAATCGATAGTGATATCAGCGAAACCGAAACGATGTACACTGGTCGTAAATAACAAAATAATAGAACAAGTGGTGGAAATGGAATACTTGGGAACCAAACTGTCAAGCTATGGAAAAGTGGAAGAAGAAGTACAAAAACAAGTGAACATGGCGAACGGAGCAGCAGGATGTCCCAACAATACAATCTGGAGAAACAAATACCTCGTAACGGAAACGAAAACTAGGATATATAAATCAACAATAAGATCGATAATGACCTACACAGCGGAAACAAGAGCAGACACGGCGCAAACACAAAGATTATTGGAAACAGCAGAAATGAAAGTCTTATGAAAAGTAACAAACCAAACTCTAAGAGACAGACTCAAAGAAGAAAAATAGAATGGAATCAACACATAAAAAGAATGACAGAAACTAGAACAGTACGAATAGCAAGAGACAAATTGCCAAATGGAAGAAGATCAATGGGACGACCGAGGAAAAGATGGTCAGACAACATCAATTGAGGCTAAAAACCGAAGTAAAACATTCATGAGCCTATTAATAAACTAGGAAGATAATCGACTCTAGCTTGACTATCTTGTTCTTTACAACTGAGGAAATTGGAATGCTCGCTCATATGGGTTTATTTCAAAGCCAGTTATTGTACGGTATTATCTTTTGAAGCAACTACACCAGCTGGCAAGTTATATTTCGACAGCAAAAAGCGACACTTAAAATTATCTCCCTAACACAGAGTCGTGATTCGTGTAGAAATCATTTTAAGGGGTTGTACATCTTAACTGTTCCCGCACTGTATATATTCCGCTGCTTGTTGAACACACTTTACTGAGTTAAAGACTCATCAAGATGCTAACTCCCATAATACCAGAAACAGGGACTTATTAATTACTCCTCAACACAGACTGGCCCTTACTCATAGGATTTATATAAATATGGCAATAAAGCTTCCAGTCAAGATAAGAATGCTTGCTTTTCATAGGTTTTGAATGGAACTATAAAATCTTCCAATATCTTTGTCTCCCTATACTATTGAAGAATTCTTTGATTGTGATATAAGATATTCTTATGCTTTGTTCTGAACTAAAAATTGGTATACAATTTAAGATAATCAACTTTATTGTATTCTATTGTATTTGTTTTTATCAGGAACGTATTTCAAATATTGTGCTCCATCAATCGATCAATGCTAAAACATGTAAGTGTGCTTTAAGCAAATAAAGAATATTTAGCTATCTATCTACACTCGTGGAGTATCAACAGGATCTTGAAGACGCTCGCAGTAAGCTAACATTAGATATGTTATTGGAATGTGCCAATTTCAATTTTTCAAATATAACTTTTTATAAGCTAGGTCAACCTAGACACCGAGCGGCGCCTGATTTGGACAATGACTCACATTCTATCACAAAACATCATACCTTTTCACGGGAAGGAGGAGGAGAGGGAGGCAGGGTAGGACTGGCAAATTAAGCTTAGAGTTTTCGGAACTCAATATCTCCATTATCTTAAACCTTTGATATATTTATGTGTTACTAGGTAAACTTGCTTATTATTGCATGGCCTATACGCTGTGTAAAGAAAAGTCCCAACTTTGAGGACACCCTGTATAGGACCCAATTTCACCAGTGAACTATGTTATCAAATTATACATTAGTTCTCTTGGAAAATTAGCTGGATTTTCAAGAAATTTAAAAGATAAAAAAGTTGGTTCAATGACTGACAGGTGTTCTCCGAAAAGTGTTTCGGCTAAAAACTCAATTTTATGCTAACTAAGCCATGCAAATTACAAGAATATCAGCCTGCGCTAGAGGTCAATTTGAAAATACAGATCCTTGTTCATTCATTTTGTTAGGTTTTGTTATGTACCTTGAAAACGAAGGCTTTCAAAACAAAAGCGAAAATAAGTTTTCAGTCGTTTCAAATAGACATAATGCGATTGGTGAGTTTCATGAAATTGATATTCTACATTTTTAGAGAATGCCTCATTACAACTTCCATTTTTTTTACAGGACAAATTTTGTACGGAGCGCTCCTATGTCGCCAACAAGATGTACTATCTGCATCTATCCATAGCCCTGACCTGGTTGGGCGTAGTACTGGCTGCCCCAGTGCAGTACTACGCCACCAAGTACGACCACATTGACGTGGAAATGATTCTAAATAATAGACGGATGGTCAACTACTACTCAGGCTGTCTGTTAAACAAAGGACCGTGCCCTCCGGAAGGAGTGGAGTTCAAAAGTGAGTATGTTTTTAATACTTTGATTCCACCCAAGTCAAAAATGTGTATGAAATATACGTTTGGATGATGTGAAGACAGTGGTGTAGTAATAGTAGTATTCGTAGTAGTAGTGTACTAAAAGAACACCGCAATTTTTAGGTTGTTATAAAAAACAATGCCTTCAAAATGGACGCAAAGGAAGGTCGAAAGTATTACAAGAATTATCTGTCTCTATCGATAACCGTCTTCAAGATATTTCTGTCAATATCTCATTAAAAGGCCCAGTTTTAATATCGAAGTTCACTTTCTGGTTAGTTAACTATAACCAGGAAGTCAACTTGTAGTTTCCTACAAATGCAAAGTATTTTGACAGCGCCAGTTAACTTTCATCATATATTTGTTGCAACTCTGCATCTGTGGTTCTTATATCATGTTCTGTGCGTTTTTGCGTTCGGCGTTTGTGTTTTGTGTCATATCCTCATGACATAACGCTAAAAATACAACTAAGTTTCTGTTAAATATCGTGTTTGTCACCTTTTTTAGCATCACTTCTATAATCTAAGACCCAAAAATAACGATCTTCAGCAACGGAATCGGCCAGGAAAAACAAAAGCATAATAGAGAGCAAAAAAAGTACCTCAAATTCCAGAAAAGAGAAAAGTTTCTACAGCCTTTTTGTAACACGAAAGCTTGCGAGGTAATCCGGGTCGTCAAATTCGTCAAAGTACATGATTCGGCCGATGGCGAATTATTTTTGCCTTCTTGCCTCTTCGTCTCTGCAATATGTAATCACATCGTAATGTATCAGCTCTAATTAACATTTATCGATCAATTGTTATCAATTTATGAATGTTTGAACAAACGTCAAAGTCTGTGTCAACAAACGTCAGGTATTGTTATTTAACCACAGGCTTTCTAGTTAACTTATAGATGGTCTCCTGGTTAAAGTTGACTACCGTTTTACTATAAAACCGATATTGAAAAACGCTTTTTCATAGAAAACTATAAGCTAAGATCAAGGTCGTAGTTAACTTACCACTGAAAAACCGGGACTAAACATATTTGCTTAAATGACATTTACACAAAATAAAGAATCTTTAATCTAGGGCAAAATACGGATTTTTCATTTATACTTCCTAGGACCGTACTAAAACACCGAAAGCACTGACAAACAAGCTTTGTAACTTTTGAAAATCGGGTCATTACCTGCGGAGTTATTTCAGATGGTCCACAAACTCCGTTTTCCGATGTTTTTAGGGTCCTTTAAGATTTTTGTACATGCCTAAAACTTTACATTGATGTCTGTCAACAAGTAGGAAGTGTTGAGACTCAACCCACGTGACTTCACTTTTTTTATTTGCGTTCATTAATGCACATATTTCAGAGTACTCACTGAAACGTTTGCTATAGATATATATGTTTAAATAAAACTCAAAATTTTTTTTTTAAATTTAATAAACATTAGTACCTATTTTCGACGGCGAATTTGCCAAACCAACTATACTCAACAACACATTCGAATCTTAATTGGTTCCTAAATATGAAATTAAGATAAAAAACATGTGAGAATGAGCACGTTAATTTTAATTATTTAATTTAGCATTTATATCCCCTTAATACAGACAAACAGAGCAGTAGAATTGATCTCTCTCTATCCGGCCATTATCTAAAACAACAGGATATACAGGTGTTATTTAAGTACGTGGCGTTTGAATAATTTTATGATGAAAAGCTGATATAAACATAGGTCCAGAAATGCATCATTTTCAAGATTCAACGGGACCAATTTTTTTAAAAAAATCGGTTTTTCCTAGATATCTTGATAAACTTTCAGTCGGTTCTGTTTAAATTTAGCAGTGCAGCAAGGTGCTAATTTGGCCCCAATTAGATTAAAATCATTAACTCCAGTGGCGGACGCGGAAAACCAATATATTTGACAAAAAATTGTGCATCACTGACTTTTTTCTAGAAATTCAACTTTTTGTCTCCTGAGCTTCATTCATATCTCGCTTTGATTGCGAGATAAAAAACAAAAAGCACTTCATTGCATGTCCCTGGGACAATAACATAATAAGACATTAAGACCACCAAACTAATTAAGCAATTAACATTAGACGAAAGTCATCTCTTGAATTTTTTCGCACACATTTAAAACTTTTTTCGATAAAATAAAAGAAAATAACATAAAATAATCGCATAACGCAATAATGTATAACGGCAACGTTTTAAAAGTAACAAAAAATAAGAGTACCATGAAAGGAAAAAAAATTGCTACTCAAACAAATCTCACTTTGACATAACTTACTTAAAGCAGTGCATAAGTAACGGTCGTAATTGTTTGAAGTGTTTTTTAGAGTTTTAAGCTATAAAATTACTAATATTGGAGAATGGTTCTATTTACAAAAATATAAAATTGGTCGGTATGCATTTTGTTTATGGAATGGCTCAAGGCAATTCTAGAACGACTAGGCGCATTTATCAGGAAAGATATACTCATCGCATTATACCAAATAGACAAACATTCGAGAGAATACTGAAAGGAACACTCACAAAATTTTGTTGTGGTGTTATACTTGACGTACCTGTACATTTTAGCACAAAACACTACTTTCTGTGCCACATTTAACACCGTCAAAGTTCGCAAAATTTAACAATAAATGCAGCGAGCCAGCTAGCGAGGTGTGTCTGGTTACTGACGTCACGCGGTCTAGTCTCGCGCACAGGTATGTTTTCCAGCCTCGCGCCGATCTTTGATTTTGAAATGCTTTTAGTCGACGTAAATATCAATATTTTTTGCTCATTTTTTTATCGTTTTTAATAACAAAATCTCTCGATTTGAGTAAAAATCAAGAAATGGCGAACCTTAATATTGGGAGATCTGTCGCAGTAAGAACAGTGGAGATGGAGGAGGCAGTTTTATATGAAGTAATATATCATTATTACCTGCCGATTTTCCCCAACAAGTCATTTATTATACTTGGCTTTTGCAATAACAGGTAGCGTTTCTAAGATTTCTATCCCGTATTTTATTTACCGATGAAGCGTGTTTCTCCCGAAATTCAATTATGAACTTCCACAACAATCATATCTGGACTGAAAGAAATCTCCATCCGGTTACAGAAGCTAATTATCAACAACAGTTTTCCGTGAACGTTTGGATTGGTATTCTACGTGATTGTCTCATTGGACCTCATTTTTTACCCCCGAGATTAAATGGTGAAAAGTATCGTCATTTTTTGGTATGTATTTTACCTGCACTACTAGAAAATGTGACGTTGGAAGTAAGAGGAGCAATATAATAATAATAATAATAATAATAATAATTAACGTCTTTTATTTGTAGCTTTCTTACAGGACGCGAGATTTAGATTATATATCTATTCTACCATCTAACCCCCTTAACAATACTAGATGTAAAAAAGAAAAAAAAAGAATTTGTTGAAAATTAATAGGCACCTGTATACAATAATATGGCTTATGCACGCTGGGGATCCACCTCACTGCAGCATAGTAGCTCGCCAAATTTTGGAAGCAACTTTTGGAGAAAACTGGATCTGGCGCACAGGTCCACAGTCATGGCCACCCAGGTCACCAGATTCAAATCCATTGGATTTTCTTCTTTGGGGGCATTTAAAGTCCCTCGTTTACAAAGCTCCATAAGGCACTGAAGAAGAATTAACCAAACGAATATGTTAAAACGAGATAAAGCTTGCATTGAGGTTGAAGGAGGGCATTTTGACCAACTATTATAAGTTGCGTGTTATTTACTGAAATAAAAGGTTAAGTGTAGTTGTAAAAAGACGTTTTTCCGGTTAGATTTTTTTTAATTTCCAGCGTCACCAAATTGCAACACCACTGGCAAAGCATTGCAACAATTAATAACATTATGTAAATATTTTAAGTTTGTTTTATGGAAAGCAGGTATAATCTGAGCAAAAAAATTCAAGAGTCGACTTTCGTGTAACTTAATTTTATCAAAAGCATGCAAGAAAGTGCTTTTTATTTTTTACCTCGAAAACGAATCGAGATATGAAAGAAGCTCAGGAGACAAACAAGTTGTATTTTTAGCTGCTTAACAGTGGCGCACAAATTTTTTGTCAAAGATATCGGTTAGGATGTTTTTCTGGACCATATTAGACTTAATAATTTCAATTTAACCGGGAATAAATTACCCCCCACTGCCCTTAATACCACTGTTGAATATGAACAAAATTGACTGAAACTCTATTAAGATAATTAAGAAAAACCGATTTTTTAAAAAAAGTTAATGAACATGAAGCATTTGTGAACCTATGCTTATATGAAAGTTTGCGTCAAAGAATCACCTCCTGAAGTTTGGCCACGTACTTGAATAACACCCTGTATAGAAGTTGCACTTATACTTTTGCTCCTTCCCGTTTGTTTGTACGGCATTGAAAACATGCTTAACTATAGACGAATGCGAATTGGAACAGTGTAATATCGATGTAAGTAATGCAGATCAAGGAAACAGTTTCCCGATTCTTCATTTTGTCTCTGATCTTTGATCTCTGGCAATCAATCCTTAAAGTTGTTTTAAGTTATGCATGTCTTACCTTATAACGGGTTTGATAAAAATCGATAGCAATTTCTTATCCCTTTGTGATTTGTGATCGTTCCTTGGTTTTAGATTTGGCTTCATAATCGAGGATATTTTACATAAAGTTAGTCAAATTCAAGGGGTGATGATTCTTTGAAGTATTGTAAGACTAGTTTGTGTTTAGACGATTTTCTAACCACTCCGTAATCCACAAATCTGTTCAAAATTGTCTAGTAAATGTACTTTTGGACCACAGACCTCTTTCAAACACAGCAAAGTATGAGTTGCATCCAGCACTGAGTCAATTACCCGCCTAAGGGCCGATTTCACCAACATTGATATTATGGACCAATGGGAAAATACCTTATCGAAATGAAATTTGACAGAAGCTGTCAAAGTCTCAGAATATCAGTGATTCCTATTAAAATATTGAATAAAATCGTAAAAATTCGACTGTATTATAAACAAGATCACTTCTTGATTCCAACATGATGCTTTTGTACAGAGAAAACATGTCAACTTTCATGTATTTTGATTTGTGTTATAAATTTACATTTAACAATCAGTTATCCCCAAAAGCCAATGGGAATGCGGCAAATAATAGGTCGATTTTCTAGCTGTTAAATTTGGCACCAGATTTCGACGTTTGTTAATGCATGGCAATTTCGAATTTAAGTTCAATATACTGTTATCATTACATACCTGTTGAATAGCGTGGATTTTTCTGTATTTTGCAAGAAAATAGAATATAAAATACATTCTCTCCAATTCCTCATCTTCCTTTACATCATAATAGTAATCATTTATTAATTTACGGGTTGATGAATTTCTTCAAAGCAATAGAAACATTGTCCTCTCCATCCTACCATACAGATAATATGTGTAAGACGTGTCAATCCCTACATCTCCGTGATGCATAATGCAATTACTATGGACATAGACAAAAAATTATGAAAAATTTGTCACAAATAATGTCTTTTAAGTCCAAAAATCATAAAATCTATTAATGTTTATTGTTTGATTGCCTTTTTCACTGGTGGGGTTATCTATCTGTCACTCGCAGGGTTGCCACGTCTAACGACGATCACGTCCCGTGGTGAAGGGTGCGACATGAATCTTTTACATTTGCTGCTTTTGAATTTAAAGTAGGAATACAAAATAGTACTTATGATAATTTATAGCTAGACTGATAACACTTCTTGAAGAATATTTGAAAAATGTGAATACCGTCATAGTCTGCTGTTAAATTGCAAATTAAGTATCTGAAAATTCTTACATACAGTGCACCTTCGTCATAGTTTACTATCTTGATTATGATCATTTTTAGCAGATGTGTTGTATCACCAAATTGATGAACAAATGAGGAGCAGACTTTCAAAAAGCATTAAGTGCAGTTTTTACGAAATTGGCCAAAAGATGGCGATCAAATGTATAGGTTCATCTCCGTTTGTCAACCGCTCCTTGGACATCCAAAACGATGTTAAACGATAAATATAACGCCCGTTAATACGCCGAGACTTTCAAAGAGCGTTATTTTTTTCTGCGTTGGACAAACAAATAGACTTTGATAAGCTAGTTAGTGCGTGAACGCTTTTTGTTTGTCCAGTATATTTTGGATGAGCAGCAAGTTAACCCTTTTGTTTGGACACGTGTCTCAAGATTGTAAAATCCTGTCGTAACTTGCTTCAGTTAGCATAGTGATATCGAGTGGGTTAGATCGGTCGGACCACTATTATGGATGAAGAGCATATTGTTGGTGATCAAGACAGAGGCAGTAGAAAACGAAAATGGGGTGCAACATCACGGCAGCGGCAGAAAGAAATACGGTAGATATAGTAAATTATGTTATTTGGGGAATTTTCTCATAGTTTGCGGTTTTATTTCTAGATACGATGACCCTGATCCCAACCTTGATGGTTTCGAAGTCCCCTGTAAGCATGGCAGAAATAAAAAACTTTCATGTAAGGATATTCCTTTCGAAGATCTAAGGCGCTGCCGACAAAAGTTTTATTCACAAAAAGACAAGGTTAAGCAAGATACGAAACTGTCTCATTTAATTGAAATTGGAACTCCTAGGAGAAAGAAACGTTCAGACCAAAGCTTTACTAGAAACCGCAACATTACTGTGCATTACAATGTGTGGAGCTCCAACAGCAAGAAAAGAATTTGTCAGAAAATGTATTTAAAAATTTTTGGTATTAGTCAGAAACGCATACAAAATATTTCTAGGCAAATGAAAGCTGGATCGGGTATTTCTGAAAATCGTGGTGGTGACAGACGTTCGCAGAAAAATGTGGAAAAGCGCAAAAAAGTGAAAGCATTCATCGCAAATTTAAAGGGGCAAGAGAGTCACTACGGAAGAGCGAAATCTAAAAGGATATATTTATCTGCAGAGTACAATATTACCATACTACATAGGCTATACAATGATAGCGTTGAAGAAAGCTATAAAGTAAATTACAAGTACTTTAGTCGCATTTTTTCGAATGACTTAGGATTCGGTACACCGGCGACCGATGTTTGTGGATTCTGTACGCGGCACCTAAATCTGCTCTCTATGGTGAACGGCCAACGCGAAAAGCAAACTGTTATTCCAAATTTAAGAGTACATAAGTTACGAGCAAAGCAGTTTTTTAAAATGATGAAGGAAAAACCTGAAGACGGCATGGCATTCTGCTTCGATCTTCAGCAGGTACAACCCCTCCCTAAAGTACCGATTTCAGAGGCATTCTATGCACAGCAACTCTCCTTGTATGTTTTCTGTATCACAGACATACCTTGCAAGCGACCAATTTTCTACTCATGGTTAGAACACCAAGCAGCAAGGGGTGCCACAGAAGTTGGTTCTGCTCTTTACGATTTTCTCAGAAAGGCTGAATTTCCAAAAAAACTTGAAAGAATTGATGTTGTTCTCTGATGGATGTGGAGGCCAAAACAAGAACAGTCACATAGTTCACATGTTAATGATGTGGCTACATAAAGAAGCACCAAAAGGCCTGCAATCTATAAGAATGGTTTTTCCAATAAGAGGTCATTCATACCTGCCAGCGGATCGCATTTTTGGACGATGTGAGAAGCTTATTAGGTCCCATAGCACACTAAAGTCACCAGAAAAATACTGGGAGTTGTATTCTCAAGTCGGATTGGTTCGAAAGCTTGGGACTGACTGGAAAATATATGACCTGAAATCCGTTTTGTCCACTTTTAAGAAAATCGAATCAATCAGTCATGCTAAGCGAATCTTGATAAAACGGACTTCAAAACAACATGTAGCAGTGAAAACAGAAACCTTTTACAGAAATGACGATGCCAACGCCAAGTACTTGACGTTGTTAAAAAAAACAAGAAGATTGAAAACTTGAGTTTTCCAAGGCTGCCTTTGAATCATGAAATAAAAAGGACAAAGTTGAAAAGTCTGCATAACCTTTTGGTGCAGCTATCCACAGAAAGATGGCGTGAGGATGAGGAATTGCAATGGCTTCGTCCTATTTTTCCAGAGCCCCTTGAAGAGTTACAAGAGAATAGTGATGAAGACAATGATGAAGATAATGCCCAAGAAGTATGTAACTGCATCGAGGATGATGGTGGAGTGAAAGTTTGAATATTTTTCTCTAAGCCTATTTTTTATAAGATTGTATTCATCGGTAAATGGAATAAAGGTATTTTGACTTAAGTTACCGTTTCCCAAACAGAAGGACTTATTTCACCTTCGGACAAACAAAGTGCATCAAATAGAATCTACTTTTGGTCAAAAAATGGAATTTCCTTGTTTTCCAGGTAATCCTCCTTCATCATCAAAGCTTATCTATTTTCGTGGTATTTGATTCACCAAAATCAAGCATTTGGAGCTACGCATGTTGTCACAGCAGTTTTTTCCACTTTCCTCAATTTATGCGGATCATAGCATAACGCTTTTTGAAAGTCTGCTCCTCAAATATAAAAGAAAGCTCTTATATACCTACATACAGAGGATTTTTCATGTAATTTTACTAGGTATCATGATTATAAGCATCTCCTATTTATGAAAATATTTTTGGTGCCATCTAACCGTTGCAATCAGTGCACAAAAACTGAGACATATTATTTATAGCATAACCCGCTGCCCTATCAATATGAATTTAACATACAGGTCGCCTAGCCGTGGGAATGCAGTGGTCGGGATGAATATCACGGCAGCAACTGATGATTTGGGCATGTCTGGTAACAACTTATGAAGTGAAACTCGCTAACTTCACAAATTTGAAGATTTTGTACAATTTCTTTGAAAATGATGAAATATATGTCTGATTTGGCAGGGTAATGTCGCAGCCAAATGGCAGTCACTCTTTCTGACACAGTACGGATCGAGAGATGACGATAGTCGTCAAATGTATTGATACTTCTAAATATAGGATCCCATCGAACATCCTTACTGTCAAGATGTATAACCCGAGGTACCGACGGAGCTATTTTGCGGCGTCATGAAAATAATTTTAAATGTTCATTTGCATTTCCAAGAGTTGTGCAACGATTTTGGGAAAAATTCCACGAATACTCTTATAAAGCATAGTAGAGTATATTTCAACAGTTGGCGGAGCTTACTCCACTGGGACCAGGAGGGTGAAATGGGATATTATTGCACAAAATGGCCGCTGACAACCACACAAGTCACCGTGTTGTCATTGAATAGCATGGAATTAAACCTTCTTCAGAGTATATGTTTTGTGACTGGGACCAAGGGTTGACAGATCCGACACATGTGTGTGTGCAATAATCAGCTGTATTCAAATAATGTCTAATATGAATATAACCTAGAATGTGTACTCGTGAAAAAAGAAAAATATGGCAAATTTGTAGTTTTTTTGCAGGCTTTAGGTTTCCTGATAGCTTTAACGCATATATTTGGGAATTTCTTAATTGCTAAAAGTGTGTGTTTGTTCAGTTAGAGAATCCGGCTTTTTCCGTCTTTCTCCGGAAGTACATTGAATATCGAAACTTTTTAAGCAGCATTTTGTTGATTACTTAAATACGCTACATTGTCCGTATTTAAACCACTTCATATCTGTTACAGTTTCCGAAATTCCAATGATGAGGGTCGAATTTTAAATACCCTCTATAACAGAGATCGGCAGTATATGGTGATGAGATCATTGTCGCTGATCTTTTTCAAATGTAATCTTCACTACTAAGGGGTGTTAGAGGAATCTAACATATGCAATAAGAGGAAAAATGCAAAATTCGTCAACATTTACCATTTCATTTCAAAATTCACTGTCTTTGCCCTCCCTGTAATCACTCCTTACATGTTGATATCGGATGTTCCTTTGCTCTATACTGCCGGAATCGAAAAATAAAGAAGAAA